GCTCCTTCGGGGGAGTCTGGGGGGCGCGGGGGGAACGCCAGTGGCAAAACTCCTGAATTCGTCACTGCCGCCTCATTTCACCCAGGCTTCTTTCCACACCAGTGCCCTGAATATGCTTTTCCGAGAGTAATCCTGACTTGCGCAACTAATCCCATTTGGGTTTGGGGTTTTTTTTTATTGGGGGGGGGGGAACACCACAGGGGCTTTTCCGCTTGAAAGCTTGGGCAGAGCTGTCGTCACACGCTGGTAAGGTGACGCCAGACCTGCGGCCTGAGGACCTGCTTCAGGCGATGCGTGCGAACGTAACACAGCGTCGCGGAGAACGCGTTACGGACGTTTGCTCGGTATTTATGTCCGATTTTCCCGGCGTTTACCACAGCACAGTAGTGGCAGGTACCTGAGTAAGGCCTTGCATTCTTCAGCCAGTAAAACGCTGGGGATTTGTCTGGTAGCCTCCCGTTCCTCAGCAGAGGAGGTGGAACGTGAACCCTCGATAACCAGGTCTGTATTTTTTAGAAATAAATGTGAGTCACGGGAGCAGATCTGACCTCCCTTTTCTACAAAATGACACAGCTGGCGCCAGCGAGCCCTCGTCGGGGGGCTTGTCCCCACCACGCCTAAGGATGTCGTCAGGACGCTGCGGCGTGCGGGCGAGCGCGGTGCCGCTGCCCTCTGACAGAACACCCAGGTTTAGGTCCCGCGCGTTTTCAGCGTCCTCACGCTTACGCCGCTTCCCTCTGCTGCTGGTCTGGAACCACAGCAGCGGGTTCCTGATGGTCACCGGGCAGCTCCCGAGGGGCTGGGTCTCCTCCGGCATTTGGAGGGAGCCTGGTAGCTCGGCACGGCGACGCGGAGCTGGGGGAGAGCTCAGCCGCATTTTTCTCCTCTGCGGAGACTGATGTCAGCTCCCGGTTTCCAGATGAACACACCCAGCAGCTGGGCAGGTTCCGAAGCTCCAGCTCTCGCGCTGCTCTGCCTCGCCTGAAGCGTGGCTTGGTGGCCGGGGGCGAGCTGAGTGAATGACATTCTGGTCCCCAGGATGTTGATTTGCAGCGCCTCGTGCCAGCGCTCTTGCGAAGCCAGGGGAGAGCCATGTGCTGGCTGTTTACCAAGTGCTGAATAATGCAGAGCAGTGACTCACACAGAGATTTCCCTTTCTTCCTATTAGCATTATTGTAAGCAATAATACGATTCCCCCAGAACAAGAGACGATGGCGCAGTGAGGTATTGGGGGTCTCCCTGTCGAATAACCGAAGCGTAGACACTGAACCGGCTGTTTCCAGGAAGTTTTAGCTGCAGTGCGTTACGGCAAGCGGTGTACTACGACCTTTCCTTTAAGGAAAACAAAAAAAGAAAGAGGTGGGTGTAAAAACTGATGCTTAAATGTCGTAGGAGCTCATTTGAATTAAATGCAAAGTTTGTCTGTCTGCTGCAGAGACGGAACCAACGAGAACAAATGGTGACAGGTAACAGGAGAGGGGATGGGCGAGCAGGTTTTTCTGAAGAACACCCAATGAACCGGGTAACAGAGAGGAGCAGAAATACGGCTTAGGGGACCCTTGGTATCCCCAGAAACTCCTCCGGAGCGAGGTGTCCCAGCCTGGGCAACAACCCTGAGTTACGTGGTGATACCTGTAAATGTAAAATTTCCACTTCCCAGAGTGATTGTAATTAAACTAAACTAGATCCTTGCTGTTTTGAGAAGACAGGAAAGCTCTAAGATAAAGAGGCTCCTCAATAACACTACTTAGACAAACTGGACTTGCTGATTTGAGAAGACAGGAAAGCTCTAAGATAAAGAGGCTCCTCAATAACACTACTTAGACAAACTGGACTTGCTGTTTTGAGAAGACAGGAAAGCTCTAAGATAAAGAGGCTCCTCAATAACACTACTTAGACAAACTGGACTTGCTGATTTGAGAAGACAGGAAAGCTCTAAGATAGAGAGGCTCCTAAATAATTCTACCCCAGGAGGCTCAGCCTTGGGAGGGCAGAAGCACCAAGCTACAGAGAGAAAGAGGCACCGAGAGGGCAACGAGACCGGAGCAAAACAACCTGGAAGGACACGGTATGCTGACCTTAGAACGGAGTCTGCGCAGAAACAAAGGTTGGCCAGCGGACACTGTGATGAGGAGTATGAGCCTTCATCTTGAGACCCCCAAAGACCACCCGAGGATGCTAACAGACATGTGTGAAAGATATTAACATATGCTAATTAGTTATTGGAAAAGTCACGAATATGCTAAGCATTTCTTGGAAATATAATGAATATGTATATTGTGATTGTATTTAACCTGAAATGGCAGGGTGTGTGGCCCGCATATTTGGAGGAGAGATCCCCGTGTGCCCGGCACCGCAATAAAGAATCCCTGCTTCACAGCCCTCTGACTACTGAGTCTGCAACTCCGGCTTTTCAGGGCATCAGCGGTAACAGTCGTTTGTGGTTTCTCTCTCTTTAGGCTAGCAGAGAGGAAGGGAGAAGCCACGCCAGCCGCATGGGTGTCGGCAACTGTTCCTGCCTTAGCTCTGCTTTCACTGCTGCTGTTTTGTTTTGGTATCACACTGCATGTGTGAAGAGAAGAGACAATATTTCTAAGTTCAAGAGAAGACGAAAAGGTGAGCTGACTGAAGGAGCAGAACCAAGGGGATCCAGCTTGCCGCGGCCTCTCTCTCCCCGCGCCACAGAAACCCCATTCCGTGCGGTGAGGAGGGGCGGTGCTGCTCACGCTGCTCCAGACAGCGAGCTGGGTAACCGATCCCCAACGCCCCTGTCCCCGGAGCGCCTTTCCCTCCTGCTGCCCTGCTCCCTCCGAGCAGCGGCTGCCTCCGCGGTTCGTAACACTGGGCTGCGGGTCGCTCCGGAGGTTTGCCTGAAGTCAGCAGGTTCCAGCGTTGTCTGGGGCAAGGGACCATCGCGAGTGATGCGCTGCGTGGTTGTTACACTCTGCGTTTTGCTCTCAGGAGTTACTCCTGGTCCAGCTGCAAAGCCAGCTGTGCGACAGCAGAGACGTGGGGCTACACCTGCACCAGCAGCAACGTGGCAACACACGGCAATACCGCCAGCACTCATAGCACGCTAACTGGCCAAACCCAGCCCCACAGCACCTGACGCGTCACTGAAGGATGGTGGGTTTTCATTAAAAATCACTAAATGCCACTTCTGCTGTGCTGCTGTCATGCATCCGAGTCCAGTTCTGGCTGGCCGTGCAGACCAGCAAGCTCCTTCCGGAGAGCAGGGGTTCCACCTTCAGAGCACGTTCCGTCTGCGAAGCCGCTGCCTGAGCTCACCCCGGACGTAGACAAACGCTTCTCGGCTCAGCCGGTGTGCT